TGGCTTTTTCGCTTTTTAAGTCATTCTGATTTAGTTTTTGGCGCATTCAACAACATAGAAATGTTAACAATTTCATCTGTATCCTTAATTAGAACGTTCAGGTGCATTATTTTTCCAGCAATGTGAATTCCAAGAATTCCAAACTCATTTTTATCGGGTTTGCATCCTTTGTGAACCCAGGTCATTCCGTCATTCATTTCCCTCCAGAGCTTCGCATCATCATTCTCTTCTTTGATCTTAGTGCAGACTATACGTGAAGATTCCACGAAGATGAGTTCATATAATTTCTCTTCACACCCTTCGATAAACATAATATCAGGTTCTTTTACCCTGTTTTCCATCTCCTTTTCTGTCAGCGCTAACTACACTTTGTCGCTCTGCACTGAATAAAAGGTTATTACTAGCATATAATCTAACAATATAGCAGAAACTTACGTGCTAAGCAAGGTGATTTTTCTAACTGGGAGCTCTTTCAATGTAGCCTGAAGTAAAGGAACTACAACATCTGTCACGTAGATTCCTTCACTTTGTGCGTTTTCGAATTTAGGACAAAAAGCTGGGTTCCTCCACACATTACCACTTTGAGATAAAGATTTTCTTAACGCAAGTAGCAAATATAACAATCCTACAATGAGAATTACTTACAGGGTATTAAGTATTCCTTTGGTAATCTCTACTAGAACTTCTTCCAGTTCCTTCCAAGTTTTGTTTTGGGAGAGCTTTTGTGGTAATTCATCTAAAATCTCAATGCTAAAAATTTCCACCAACTCATTACATTCTTCTTGGATTATTCCCGGTATGACAGGTTTCATATCCTGTAATGGCTTCATGAAAGATTTATATGCGGATGGTTCGATTTTTTACCAAATCTAATCTGTCACTAATCACCTGACTGACGATTGGATCACGCCATGCCAAGTCAGAAATAGATATCTTTTAAACCTTGCTGTAATCCTTCGCCATGTATAAAGTTGCTTCTCTATAAGACAAGAATGTATAAATTTTTTACTTTATAGTAAGCTAGAAATGAAGTATCTTAATCAAGAATACCGAAAGTTTCTTCAAATCCCCGGTTAGCCATGGCTAGGGTTTTCTAAAAAGGGTATTATAACGCAAAACCAAATTTGATAAGACGCGCTTGTGATATCTCAAGTAGGGTGTGGCACGGCTAAAAAATCTTGCCAAAGCTCGTGCCAGGCATGCCAGGGTGGCATGCAACTAAACCATGTGATAAAATAAATAAATTTGATTGGTCGGTTATATACGTGCGGTTTTGTACTGTAATCAAATTTTTTTTTTTTAATTATTATGGCGCAGATACCTGATCTGCAAATCAAAATACGATCGGCAAATTCAAAACAAAACGTTCATTTCTCAAAAATTTGTATAAAAAAAAACCATCTTTAGTGCCCTAATAAAAAGTTTTCCTTGAGCGATTTTACTATATAATTATCTAACCTCTAACCTTAGTCTAAACGCTAACCCTAACCCTAACTACAATGAACTTTAAAATTTTTTGTTAATTGTAAAGCTGTGCCACAAACCTGGTACAGAATTCATAAGTGCAAAAAAAAAGTTAATCCGCCTTTAATGTAACTATAACTTATTCGTATTATTATAGAATTATGAGATCACAAATTTTTAAAAAATATAAAATGCGATTATTCACTTAAACTTATTTTTAATTTTCCTTTTTTTTTATTTGGGAAATATGGATGATTCTGAAAGTAATGTTGGACATTTAAAAACCTTTGTACAAATAAACCATGATAACATTATATTGCCTGGAGAACTTTATCGTACCAATCAAGATGTTGGAATCTGTATATTTGTTCATGGATCTGGATCTAGTAGACTTAGTCCAAGGTATGAGGATTCAAAAAGATTTGGTGGGACATGATTCTGTTAAATGAAACCACGTTAAAAAAAAAATCCGAATGCATACTCGGGTTAATGATTTATAAGGTTCCTATTGTTTCTTTTTTTGATTTTATAAAGAGGATAATGATGAAATTGTTAACATTTCTATGTTGTTGAATGCGCCAAAAACTAAATCAGAATGACTTAAAAAGCGAAAAAGCCA